ACTAAGCCTAAAACATGCTTGAACAAGGGCTAACAACCTAAGGCACATTGAGGCAATAACATGGCATTACATGGTAGGTATGCTAAGCATGCATGGTGTACCAAAACCAAGTAAAAAAAGAGGTATAATATGACATATTAAGCACAAAAAACAGCCAAGGCATGGTCAACATGAAGCTTAGCTAGGTGCTCCCTCAAGAGGCCAAAACATGCCCTTTTCAAGGACAACAAGGAGAGGGGGTGGCCCTCTCCTTCTTGGGACTTCAAGGCATCACCTTCACCACTGAAATCCCTCAAGATTTCAGTGGTGAAGAGGCCCAAACACCAAAGTCTCGAGACTCACTCAAAATAGCCCAAAATGGGGTCTTTCAAGGCCTAAGAGGGGTCAAACACCCTCAAACCAAAAAACACTCTTAATAAACAATCAAGAGGACTAAAAAACAGAACTTTTTTATGTTATACACTAAGCACAAAAATAGTTCAAAGATAGGTTAAAATACAATACAAAAATGGAGTAAAAAGGGGTAAGATTCTCACCCTTGAAGACCTCTTCAACAATGATGCTCCAATGGCCCTCCTTGGCTTGAATCCAACACTAAAACACCAAAATCAGCCCCTTAGAACCTCAGGAGCCAAAGGAAGGTGAAACACTAGGTGTTTGTGTGCAATAGTAAGGCACAAAACACCTAGAGCACAAAAGAGAGAGAAAGAGAGATAGGATGTGTATCTAACCCTAACCCTAGAACTCAAACCCTAACAATGGCTGTCTAAGCTCGCAAAATATCTCAAGTCTCTAACCTCTCAAGCTAAGAGACCAACCCCTCCCTTTATGGCACTTCTTGTCTTGTAAAGCTTACAAGACAAGCTTCATAAGAGGGAGATCCCTCCATACACGTGTATGGAGGGGAGCCAAAAGCAAGACAGCTGTCTTAAAATATCTGCAAAAGCAGATGCACAGTAGTCGACCGGCCAAAAATGCCATCTTGGCAAAATAGAGTGCCGACCGGCAACAAAGAGTTCCGACCTGCAACAAAAAGTGCCGACTGGCAACAAATAGTGTCGATGGCAGCAAAAACTAGCCGGTGACCTCTAGCCACTGCCGGTGGTGTGTGGGGATGCCTCACAAGGCATTCCCTCCCCCTCCAAGGCAAAACACAAGTGTTTGGTGCAAAACCAAACACTAAACAGTCGAGTTCGAAGATCCTGATGCAAGGCGCGCGAGCCGAGACCTCCGGGAACTCCAAACGAACACGAACATGGATAATCACTGAGTGTTCCAAGCGGTGACGTCCAAGTCTTGAGGACGGTCAAAAATGGGGTGTCTACAACATATAATCATGATTTTCATTTTGGGGCCATTACACTAAGACTTAAGACTTTTCTAGATGTGAACTCCAGATCAACCATCCCTTTGCCTTTGATAGTAGCAGTTGAAGAGTTGCCCATGTAGACAATTGTTCCATCACTCACTTGTTTATAAGTAGTGAAAAGGCTCTTGTCGTTGCAGACGTATCTCATTGCTCCTAAGTCAATCAACTAGTTACCAGCATCTTTGAGCATGTTCACCTTGGATACAACAACCACGAACTTGTTCTTGGCATTTGATGTTTCTGACTTCTTCTTGTATGACTGGCATTCATGTTTGAAGTGCCCTGGCTTGCTACAGTGCCAGCAAACGCCTTTCGACTTCTTAGCATCTTTCTTGTGTTGGAGGTTACGCTTACGCTTCCCTTTGTTGAACCTCTTGCTATCATCCACCATATGGATCTTAAAAGTTTGAGTCAATTGGTTATCTTTACTTTCAAGAAGTCTTGACTCTTCCTCAACTCAGAGGTGTTGAGCCAATTCCTACAAAGTAAGATCTTTTTTTTTGTGTTTCAATGTTATCGTAAAATCCTTCCAAGAAGATGGTAGTTTCTCTATTATAGATGAAACTATAATAGATTCACCCATGTTCATATTCTTTCGTCGGAACTGACTCATAATATATTGGATCTCATGGAATTGTTCCATAGTGGGCTTTGTATCAATCATAGTAAAACGCATAAAATTACTAGCAAGAAATTTCTTACTAGTGGCATCCTTGGTGAGATACTTTGACTGCAATATGTCTCAGAGTTGCTTTGTCGTTTTCAGATGTTGATACACATCAAAAACAGAGTCTGACAGTGCATTCAGAATGCGTCCTCGACAAATATAGTCGTCATTCTCCCATTTGGTTCTAGTACGGGTTTGCTCCACCATCTCATCTTCTTGCTTCGCCGAATAAGGGGTAGTCAACACATAGACCACTTTGAGAGTAGTGAGCAGGAAATGCATCTTCTTTTGCCAGCGTCAAAAATTTCCTCCATCAAATTGGTCAAGCTTCATGAATCTTGAATCATTTTTTGAATAGACATTGCCATATGGAAATATTGTCTTTAGATTATTGAAACAATTCGTTTTTGAATTCTTAAGTTGGTAATCTCTGAGTCTTCAAAACTTGACGATGATCTTGTCTATGTAGAACAGAAAATTGATGCTTCAAGTCGCGTTACCTAGTTGTTTTTCTAAAGACAAAATTTGCACCCATCAAAAGGTGTGCAGGGGGTTACAATAAATTCGCCTCCAAGATATAATGAAGCCTGATCTAAGAATCAAGTCTACTGGTGTTTGCATTGACAATAGTAGATCAGAATACTCTTATTATAATCAAGAAAATCAAGACACAAATAATCACGTTTACAGAATTTGATTACCAGTAAGAAAAGCAGAAGCTTGCTTAAAAAACTCTTGATAGAAAACTCTAAATCAGGAGGGGGGGAGAGAGAGGGAATTGCAGAAATGGTTTAAGTTTTTTTTTTTTTTTTTTGGAATCACTAAGAAAATATGGTTTATCAATTTTAGTTTTTAATGGTGGTGTTACATGTGTTTTAAATTCTGTATCTATACATATGGATTGTAATTCTAATGACTGTTGATGATGATGGTGGTGAAATGAAAAGTGGGTGTAAGTTTTCAGCAGAGGAAGAAAGAGTGGTGATAGAGATGCAGGCAAGGTTTGGGAACAAGTGGGCAGCGATTGCGTCGCATTTGCAGGGAAGAACTGACAATGATGTCAAGAATTTTTGGAGTAGTAGGAAGAAGAGGCTGGCTAGAATTCTTCAGTCAACTTCGCCGCCGCGACAGACCAAGTCACACAAAAGCAAAGATAATGCTCTGGCTGTTCATGAAATGCCCACTTTGCAGGTCTGCTTCAATGTTTTTGTTTGATTTGTTATCATATGATAAAGGTTTTTAAATGCTTAAATTTCATGTAATCTGGTTTCAACGGTGATGAATGTTTTGCAATTTTTTTCTAAAATTTTAACAATTCAACCTTAAACAAGCATTTGGGACAGGGTTGTGTAAGTAGTTGTTTTCAATCATGTTTGATTTTATGAATGTGGGATTATTTTGTTGACAGAGGTCATACAACTTGTTTTGGGATTAGAATTCATCACAAGATGACGAAAATATCCTCCTCAGGTTAAATTTATCTTGGGATATTATAAGAGTGAATTAAACATATCCTAATTACTAGATAAAATAGAGTTGTTTAATCGTAGTTTCACTTTGTAGTTATTTTAATAATATACCAACAGAAAATTTACACGCAACGAATTGACAAATTTGTATTCATTTGTTTCATATTTTGAACTAAAAAATTTATCAAATTGACTTATTATTTAAAAAATATCACTGTCATATCATCATGATAAAATTTCTTGTATTACAAATCATTTTCCTTTTTCTAACTATGTATACATACTATCAGGCACCCGAGTTCACTTCCCCACAAATGAAAGAAGAATCCTATTCAAAGTTTCAACCTTGCTCTTCTTCTTCCATGGAGGACCCTAAAATGATCCACAAAATGCCACAACCTAATTTTATGAACCCAAACATGGCCAACATAGATTCAAGCCAACCCTCACTTAACACCACAGAAACAGATACAAAGCCTTCAAATGAAATCCTACTCCAACTCTCCTTCACCCACCTACCAAACTCAAAACTAGACCTCCCAATCTTGGCAGAAAGCCATGCTGAACCCAACTTTCTTGATGTGTTCACTAGTCATCAACAACAGGCCTTTGAACTTGGAGATGTGTCACAACTAATCAACTTTGGCTCACCATTTTTTGAAGTGGAGGGCATTGGGAGGGTTCTCCTAACCAAAGTAACAATAAGGACAACATCATCACCCCAAATAGAACCAACCTACACAAGCATTCAGAGGCACAATGATAGCTAATCCTGACAATATAACAACTCCAACACTGATGGCATCTTAGCTCTCCCAATTTCAAATTAGCCTAGAAAATTACATGAACTTGATTAGATCGATAAATTCCCTCCAATTCGATTGCGCATGATTGAACAAACATCGGTTCCTCAATTCCCACACTAACCATAACACAGCAAACAGTATTGCCTTCCACACCACTTTCTTTGCTTTCCTAAACTTCCAACTCTGTCACCAAACCAGAAGACAATTGACTGAACAAGGTATCACCTAGACTGGACCGCATCAATTCACAATCACAGACCACACTTTTCCAAACAACTCTGCACCAAAGCAGCACATGTTAGGATGACTCTACTTCCTCCCCACGGAAACAACACAATCCCTTCTCTTGAGTACTTATAATCCCCTATCTTATCAACCTCTGCGCCGATTTGATTATGCCATACCAAGCCAGCCACTCAAAAAATCTCACTCAATGGCTACATTTTTCCAAACTAAATTTACTCCCTCCTTCTTTGGTCCCAACGATAACTCGTAGCAGTTATACAATGTTGCAACTGAGAACATGCTACTTGAATCAGCTGCCCATTTTAAAACATCCAAACACCCCTGCCTAATTAATGGAGCCTCCGGTAATATCATCTGTTATCTAGACTCCTCCTCTTCCCATGAAAATACGGTTCTCCTAAATGTCATGTTTTGGCCAGCTTCGAAGTTGTTCAAAAAATCTGCTACACTCTTTTCCTTGTTCAAACACAGCTGGTACAACCTTGGAAAGCTATATTGAAGTGTATATCCCTTGTTGAATGAATTTAAAGTTGTTACCCAAAAAGAAACCTAAGAGGGGGGGTGAATTAGGTTTCTACAAATTAAAATTAATAATACCCCAATAAAATTAACTACTAGTACAACAAATTATTAACAAGCACAATGATGAACTTAGTAGTAAATGATCAAGTTAGTAGTAAATGATCAAGCAAAATAACAATGAAGTATAACTAACATACATGGTAAATCAAATGATTAACACATGAATATTAGATAGCTATAGCAGTAGTAGGAAAGTAAAAAGATTAGGGAAGAGGAGACAAACAAATTTATAGTGATTCGGCTTCAACCAAGCCTACATCCACTCCTTAAGCTTCACTTGAGATTTTCCACTATCTTCTAGCTTAACAGGGGTGCTAGCAACCTCATAAACATGGAGCAATCCTCCATAGATTTTACACAGACTTCACAAGCCCAAACTCTTGCAAATCTTAGGTGATTCACAATCACTCTCAAGATTTCAAGAACACAGTGTTTGCAACACTTTTACAAGATGAAATGGTATTTTTGCTTTCAAAGAAAGCTTACAATAAATATCTCTCCCATATGGATATACAAAATGAAGCTCTAGTTTTTCTGTAATTCTCACACAGGAAAGATAGGCATAAAGCTATAAGGCTCCGTGCATAATTTCTGAGAATAGATGTGAGTGATTATAGATCAAAGAATATTTTCAGGTTTTTTGTAACTTGTTTACATTAGAGGCTTTGGTATATATAATGAAAATTATAGCCGTTTATAGCCGTTGTGTTCATTTGAATTTATAACCGTTTATAGTCGTTGTACTCCATCATTACTAATTTGGATATCTTTCACTCCGTCATTACAAATTTGAATATCTCACACTTGAACCTTTTGAACCTTTTGAATAATTTATAGTCGTTGTACTCCATCATTACTAATTTGAATATCTTCGACCCCATCATTACAAATTTGAATATCTTCCACTTGAACCTTCCTGGTGATGAATCCTCTGAAGTTAAAAAAGTAATGGAACAAAATAGTTTTTCAAATCAATGTTTAAAAATTATTGGTAAACAACTAGATAAGATTGAAACTTCTTTTGAAGAATATTCTACTAGTCACACTTTTGTCAATAAATATAGCGATCCCGGATTTACCCTTGTTGTACAGTGATACGGACATGTGTCCGTGGAGGTTGGTAGTTGATTATTATCTTGTTTACATCCTTTTTACTTTGTAGTTGAGTTATGGGATGTGTTGGGCAGGTTTGTTACAGGTTGGTTGAGTTTAGAAACCAAAGGTAGTTGCCCAGATTTTGACCTGTCCGCTCGAGCGGGGGTTTTGGCGCTCGAGCGGGAATTGCACCCATCCAGTATTTCCTGTGCAGTGTTGGACGCTCGAGCGTGCGATTGGCCGCTCGAATGGGGTTGTGTGAGTGCCGCTCGAGCGGGGAGTTAGAAGCTCGAGCGGAGACCTGGTTCTGTAAAAGTTCTGGGAGTGTGTATCCGCCACTCGAGCGGGATTGTTGAAGATG